AAATTAATGTTTGCATTGCATATGTTTTTCCATCCTTTTAGTTTCTATCTACATACGTGGTCGTATGTGAAGTGAGTTTCTTGTATATGGCATATGGTTTGATTATTTTTTATCCACTCTGTTAATCTCTATCTTTTAATTGGCCCAGGAATAAGTATTTAAATTTTTTCACTACTTATTAATTTTTAAAAAAATTAACAGACTTTTTTTTAAGGGAAGTTTTAGGACCACACTGAAATTGAGAGGAAGGTATAGAGATATCCCATATACTCCTGGGTCCAACACATGCATGATTCTTCTCCCCATTATCAATCCCCCATAGGAGTGGTATATTTGTTACAACTGAACCTGCAATGACACATCATTATTATCCACAGTCCATAGATTCCATTAGGATTCACTCTTGGTGTTATACATTCAATAAGTTTGGACAAAGGTATAATGACATGTACCCACCATTATAGTATCATACAGAGTAGTTTCACTGCTCTAAAAATCCTCCATGCTCCACCTATTCATCCCTGTCTTCTCTATAACCTCTGGCAACCACTGATCTTTTTATTGTCTCCATAGTTTTGCCCTATTCATAATATCATATAGTGGGAATCAGTATATAGCCTTTTTAGACTGGCTTCCTTCATTTAGTAATATGAATTAAAGTTTCCTCTATGTCTTTTCATGGCTTCGTAGTCCATTTCACTTTACTGCTGAATAATATTCCACTGACTATCTGTACACAGTTTATTAATCCATTTACTTAGTGAAGGACACTTTGCTTCCAAGTTTTGGCAATTATGAATAAAGGCGCTTAACAAGCAATCATGCACACTTTTGCAACAACAACAACAACAAAAAACCCAGAAAGTCCCAGCACACACACAAAAAGGATATTTAAAGAAGAAACAAATGGAAATCTTAGAAGTGGAAAATATGATAACCAAGGAAAAAATTCTCACTGAATGGGTTCAATAGCAGAATGGAGACAAAGAGTTAGTGAACTCAAAGGTAGATAAATAGAAATGGTTCTTTCTGGCCAAGAGCAGTGAAAGATAGATAAATAGAAATTGTTCTATCTGGTCACAAGCAGTGACTTACACAGTAATCCTAGCACTTTTGTGGGCTAAAGTAAGATGATAGATGACTGCAGGGTAGTTTGAGACCACCCTCAGCAACAGTGAGACCTCATCTCTAAAAAAAAAATTAAAAATAGCTGAGTGTGATGATATGTACCTGTAGTCAGCTACTGTGAAGGCTGAGGCAGGAAGACCCCTTGAGCCCAGGAGTTCAAGGCTGCAGTAAGCTATAATTGCACCACTGCAATCCAGCCTGGGCAACAGAGTGAGATCATGTATCTAAAACAAAACAAAAAGAAGTTGTTCGATATGAACAAGTCAGAGAAAGAAACTGAAAGAAAGATGAATACAACCTCATGGGCCTGTAAGAAAATACTAAAACATCTATCATTTGTACTATCAGAATCTCAGAAGGAGAAGTCAAAGCGTTAGGGAAACAGGAGCCTAGGACAGCCAGAGTGACATCATTTGAAAATCAACTCCATCATGAAACTAGCAAGCCACATTCCTTGCCAGTCACAACCCATGGTCCTAAGATCTTTGCAGTTGAGAAAACAGACTAAAGGTACCTACAAGGACGTGCTCCCACAGCAGCAGAAAGTACAGGGTCCAAAAACCCATAACAATATATGTTTTCACAATAATTATAGTTATGCTTTGATGCACTTACACACTAGAAAGTCAAGGATAGTTTTCTTTTAATCAACAGAATGATAAATTTCATCATGCTGTTAGTACACCCGCACAAACGTACACGTAAATTGAGTCTTTACATAGACAAGACCCCTATATAAGAAAAACGTGGCCAGGCCAAGGCTCATGCCTGTAATCCTAGCACTTTGGGAGGCTGAGGTGAGCAGATCGCCTGAGCTCAGAAGTTCAAGAGCAGCCTGTGCAACATGACAAAAATCTCATCTCTACAAAACAACAGAAAAACTAGCCGGATGTGGTGGCATGTGCCTATAGTTGCAGCTATTCAGGAGGCTGACATGGGAGGACTGCTTGTGCCCAGGAGGTTGAGGCAGAAGTGAGCCATAACACCACGACACTAGCCTGGGTGACAGAGTGACACCTGTCTCAATTTTAAAAAATTTAAAACAAAAAGGTACAAATTTATCAGTCTAATTCACTACATTAGCAGATTAATGGAAAAAAAAGTGATGATCACATTAGATGCAGTGTTTGATGAAATTCCACATATATTCAAAATGAATACTCTGAGCAAATTAAAACAGAATAGAATGACTCTGTTGAAGTCAATTTACAAAAACAATACAGTAAATACTATGGTGAAATGTTGAAATTTTTCCATTTCTGATCAGGGATAAGACAAGGATGTCCACTATCACAACTGCACCAGGTGGGTCTGCCCAATGCTATAAAACCAGAAAAGGAAATAAAAGTGTTTAATATGGCAGCAACAGGCTGGGCATGGTGGCTCACACCTATAATCCCAGCACTTTGGGAGGCCAAGGCGAGCGGATCACTTGAGCTCAGGAGTTCAAGAACAAACTGGGCAAAATGGCAAAACCCCATGTCTACAAAAAATACAAAAGAAAACAGAAAAAAAGTGGCAGAAACAAAACTGTTTTTATTCAAAGATGATATGATTCTGTATGTTGAAAACTGAAAAGGATCTAGAAGTAAACTTAGAATTCATAAGCATATTTAACAGGTTGCTGGATAGAAGCTCAATATGTAGGAATTATGCCTCTATATACCAGCTCAAAAAGCTAGCACATAAAATGTCAAAGAATGATACGTATTTCAGAGCATCAAATACTTGGAAATAAAATTAACAAAAGATGCGCAAGACTTCTTTGCAGAAGGCTGTAAAGCTTTATTGGGAGAACTTCAATTAACAAATTTCCAACATAGAAACAGACTGCATCATTTCAGCATGTCTCCTTTTAATGCTGTGATTGCCCTTCACCTGTAACAGAAACGTAACAGTCAGGAACATGACTTAGCAGCAGATTATTTAGATGACCCTAAAGGCACACAAAGAACACTACAGTTTGGGTTTTATAAAATGGACTAAAAATAGAACCCAAAGGATGATCCTGTGTCTTACATCCAAATAAAACTCTCTATAGACTTTGAGAGCAGACCTACAGAATTTAAAGGTAATTAATTCTGTAAACATCAAGTGCTTCCTTTAAATCCAGAAGCACTTATAATTAACAATCAGCAACTTGGAAAACAGTTGTGTAAAACATACTCCAGTGGATTACTCAGGAAGTACTGGAGTCATGGTCTTTGAACTTCAAAACTTATCAACTAATGCCTCAAAAGCTGAAATTTACATGAAACATCTGATATGGTTAGAGGTGACTGTATCATATATGTGATATAATCTTATTAGAAATCGTGGTTCATGAAGACTCACAGTGCAGCAGGGAGCATGTTTTGCACAGGCATCTTACTTACACCCATCCTGAGTATCAATGACCTACATCCCACAGAAAATAGGAACTAAATGGTCTCTCACCATTTGATTATTCAGTCACTCAAGGTTTCCTTGGGGAAAGATTTAAAAAGCAATTATTGATTAAGAGCCAGAGAATCCCAGCCTGGAAAACATAGTGAGACCTCATCTTTGCAATTTTTTTTTTTTTAAAAACATCAATCAGGCATGGCGGCTTGTGCCTACAGTTCCTTAGGAGGCTGGGTGAGAGGATCGCTTGAGCCTGGGAGGCTGAAGTTGCGATGAGCTGAAATTGCACCACAGCACTCCAGTCTGGGTGACAGTGTGAGACTCATCTAAAGAAAAAAAAAAAAAAAAAGCCAGAGAATTCAGAATTTGACAGAACCTAAGAATAGGCATTCAGGTCTCCACACAGAAAAACAAACACGAAGCAGAGTGCCCACTCATTTTCTTAGTAGTAATGAAATCTCAATTCAGAGGTTTTCAAATGACTCGGGTCCGGGTTTGATGATATATGATAAACAAATCAAGCAAATCAGATGATCTCTGTATCCTATGCATTCTATCTAACAGAATCAGAGTATGAAAGAACCAGAATGGAAAATGATTTAAAAATATCTGACTTAAACTCACTATTTTTATAAGACCAAAGATAGGTTTAGAAGGTAAGGGATTCTCTAAGAATCTCACAAATGCTTTAAGAGCTGGTAATAGAACATGCATCTGTGCTTCAGTATATTTCACACCAACTGATCGGTGTTACAAATGTGGTATATATTTGTTAAAAGCAGACCTTTACAAAAGCATCTGAAAATCATGAGTTATTGGTTTAAGGACTTAAAAGTTACAATTCAATATGGCTTTGACTCCATTTGTTTCTATATCTGACAGTCTGTAAGTCAGATTCTGGGGTCTTGACTATGTTTCAAATAATATTTATATAAGAACTCTATTATTGAAGAGGCAGTATTGTTACTTCTGTGTTATTAAAAACATAATACTGGGCTGGGTGTGCTGGCTCATGCCTGTAATCCTGGCACTTTGGGAGGCTGAGGCAGGTGGATCACCTAAGGTCAGGAGTACGAGACCAGGTTATGCAGCATGGCGAAATCCCATCTCTACTAAAAATACAAAAATTAGCCGGGCATGGTTGCAAACATCTGTAATCCCAGCTACTCAGGAGGCTGAGGCAGGGGAATCACTTGAACCCAGGAAGTGGAAGGTTTCAATCCTGCAATACACATCCATAATCAAGCCAGAGACCTCACATGCTAGGAAAAAGAGCCAGAAATAGATCTTAGACCTGATATCTTGCAACATACACCCATAAAGAGATCAGAGAGCTTATATTCTGAGACATACTCCCAAATAGGTCAGATGTTTTCAAACCACGTACATGTGCGTGCGCGCACCCATGCACACACACACACACATACACACACACACATCATACTGTGGAAACAGACATCCTGCAATTTGCATGCTTAATGGATTAACTACCTTCTTCTGGCAGTTTCACCTGCTATAGATTTTGCAGGCGGATCTTCTTGGCAGCAGGACCATCTCCAGGCTCACACCCAGGCATTAGCTGAACCTGTTCCTGGCTATCAGCCTCAGGCTCCAGCCCTTAAAACAATTATCATTTTAAGCAGTAAAACATGAAATATGAATAAGGAAATACTACTCATGCTTTCAGTGTTATTAAATAAAAGCTTTCATTAGTGTAATAATAAATGTGTTGATAAGAATCTCAGGAGCATTATTTCAGGAGTCTGTTAGCAGAAAACAGGGTTTTCCAAATATTACCCTCTTCCTTTCCCAAGACTGCCCTCAGACAACTTTGTTGCCTCCTTTGCACTTCTCTGTTATTGCACTTCTGATTGTCCTTATCATATTAAATGACTCAAGGCTGAAATCCTGTCTCTCATAGCACTTTCACTCCCAGCACTTAGACTGCTATGTGGCACCATAGCAGCATAGAGTAGCCACCAATAAACACTGAGTGAAAAAAGTCTTTAAAAATACACAAAAAATCTCAAACTCCTGAACATTCTGCAAACCCACCTGTCCATCCTGTTAAAAAATGTCAGTAACCTGAATGACAAAGAAAAATTGAGGAACCATTCCAGATTAAAGGAAACTAAAACCACATGACAAGTACATGCAACACATGATCCTGAACTGGACTCTGGATTAGAAAAAGAAATTCTATAAAGGAAATTATGTGGGCTGGGTGTGGTGGCTCACACCTTTAATCCGAGCATTTTGGGATGCCAAGGCAGGCAGATCACTTGAGGTCAGGAGTTCAAGACCAGCCT